GCAAACAGATTAACATGTCCGATTGCCACATCCGTTGGGCTTTGTGTGCGGCGATTCCGGTTGCCGATTACTATCTGCACTTCTTCTTCAAACAGTCTCGCAAAACCCCCGGAAACTAGAACTCTCAAGTGCCGCTGTCTAACTTAACGGAACAGCCCACTAAAAAGGGGTCGAGACAATTCATCGGGTCTCGGGTCTCGGGTCTTTTGGTCTCGGCTCGCGCGCTCTCTGGCGAAATTGGGTTTACGATGCCCGCCGCACGGTTCTTGATGTTGGATAATAAACATAAAATCATTTTATTACCATCATTTCGACGGCAGTTCGTTGGCATTTAACTAATAAGCAGAAGGCACCAACTATAATAAGCAAATATTATTGAATGGAGGCTTAGTTTAGGACATTTGCGACACATTTCAATTCCATTTCCTATGCACAGAAACTATGGGCATAAAAAAGAAATGGTCGCGAAATACCTTAAGGTAAATAAAACTATTCATGTTAGATTATGATATCATATGGGCGCGAGCCATCCCAAAAGGATAGATATACCATTATATGACCTTAAAGAAATACTTAAGGAAAACTCTTCAAACTATAATCAAAAGAGCCCATATTGTACCTTACAAATGTAGAGATATATAGAAACTATTGAGTGTGGAACTAGGGAATATCCTGAACATTTTGGCTCTTCTTCTATGCATACAAGCCTCTACTTCTTATTTTCTCAGTCCCATACTATGGAACACGCTTTCTTCATTAACTTCGATGTTTCTCGTCCGAATTTTAAGAAATTTTCAGACCCTAAACATAACATTTAAATGTGTGTAAATACCAAAACCCAAGTTTTGAAAGAAAACAGAGCTAAATGCAACAACAACATGTTTCCTGCATTTAAAGAAAATTGCCATAAAATGACTTATTTTCTAAATTTCAAAATATTTTATTATTGTTATTATTATAATTATTTTCGGAAATTATGTTTGCTTATAAAGCCGATTTTCTCAAATATGGGTAACATTTTCTTGTTTTTTTACCCATACAAAAAGTGAAATAGTCTGAATCTGTGTCTCAAGCTCATATAAGCTGTCAATAGCGATAAATATCGATTAGGAAATGGAGCAAATTATCAAACATTTCCAATAAATTCGCTACGCAGATGCACAAGGAGTAGTTTAAGTCTAAATCAAGGATATGGTGTATAATGTATTGATCATTGAAGTTTCCAAAAGCAAAAAGCGAAGGACTTAAATGGAAAAAAATGCAAGTTAAGAAAAGAACTCAAAAGTGAAACTAATTTGATGGCAAGTAGGAATCAATTGATTAAAGTTTAGTTTGTTGTGGCTTTTCCGTTGCACTTTTAACTTTCATAATACCCATTTCCTCATAGTCTATCTGTTCAATCAAGCATATGCAAAGCACAGTATAGCACTCTTTCGGCCCGCAAGCAATTGCAATCATTTGCGCTGAGTAGCGGCTAAGCCACCACCAAGAACCACACGTAACCACACGTAAGCAGCAACCACCGACAGCCTTAATAATGTAGAAACATTCGTAAGATTTATGCAGGAAAACGGTGTGGAGGAAAACTCCATAACAATACATCCAAATTAAATCCTTTAAGGCCAAGGAAATGCAAGAGCCACTCGCATGCGGCAACATTTCAACGTGTATTTCATTTAAATTACCAAGAATTTATCTTACAAGCAGCGCGCTACGCAAATGTGGAGAATTGTTTATTGGGCGGTAGACGAGAGTGGGTCTCGGATGTGGAGTGCGTTGTGTTTCCCCCGGGAGCTGGCGGCACGCGAAATTGTGCCTTGGAGTCGCATAAGACAAGCAACGGCGAAAGTGGCACCAAAAGTATGCACATGGGAGCCACCAAATGGGGGCGGGAGGCGTTGAGGAGAGGGGGGGGGGGGTTGTACCAAACCAATTGGCATGGCGTGAAGCAATGTGTGTGTGTGTGCTGGTATGTCTGTGTCGTAAAACGTTCGCAGACTTTTATGCGAAATGAAAACGTCTTGCGCGAAAAAATAATATATACATATATATATATATAGAAGTTGCCTTGCCTGGCCAGCAGCCGCCCCCTCGCCCGGTCTGACCTGCTCCTGGGAGTTTTCTTCTTATTTATTTTTTTTTTTTTTTTTGTGAAAACTTGGCCAGGCAACACCTAACGCACATAAATCATGCACAAGGTGGCAACAGCCAGCGGAAAACAAAACGTTGGGCTTGTCATAACTTTTGCTTGAGTCCTTTTTGGCGCAATTCCCAGGACATGGTCAGGCAGCCTTTTGGCAGGACTCGCGGGAAACAGACAACGCACTCGCGCGCGTCCAGCGTCTGTTTGCTGCAAGTTAAACTTCAGCTAACAAAGTAAAACGAGCGTGCCTGCCAAGTGGAAGATATCCTGCAAGATATCCTGTTAAGAACTGTAGCTAATATCAAATATTATATTCCTAAATAACTGTGGTATTTATGCTCTGATCATGGTAAAATTTTCGGCACTTTCACATGACATTTGAGTGTGTCTACATACCAAGCATTGTTGTTATATAGATACATATTACTTGATACTTATATATGATTTTGAAAGTTAGGAGAGTTTTTGAATACTTTCTAGAATTTAAAAGTTCCAATTTATAGCACCGAACTCTTACAATCGCTGAAATATGCTCAAAAAACTAAAGCTAAATATCGATATTAAATGATTTTAGGCGTCTCTTTCTAGTATTAAAAATGTTGCTTACTGTATAATGATATAGACGCGCCTACATAGACGCACAGATAGATATGGCTGATCAGGAACTGAAGAACTTTCCATTACACCATATCAATATACCCTCGTTTATCAAATTTTAATTTGTACAGGGTGTATAAAATTGGTAAAAAGTAAGTAGCTATTGCTGCAACTGACAGGGTGCCAAGTGCAGCTACAACCCTGCGCCAAACCTCAAGTCCTGCTCAACACTGGCCTGTTTGGAAGAACTTTTGCGTGTTTTTTTTCTTGCACTTGTTTAGCTTTGGTGCCAAGGCGTTTGTACACCTGAGATTGCAAAGTTGCGTTTAGTTTTTAACTTGTTGTTTCGGGCAGTTATAATTTATGGGCTATACGAGCGTAAGAGCCTGATGGGGGGGAGTTTCTATAGATAAAACGCTTGACTATGAGACACATTTGATGCGTGTTGACCCAATTAAATGCGTGTCTTAAAGCGGCATTTTTTGTTTGCTCGAGATCTTTACTTAAACGTGATCTCGGCCCTTTTCAGTGTCAGCCCCACACACGCACACACACACACACACTGACACTGAGAATGGTTCATTAAACTGTACCATGTCATCTACTGCAAACTGCTTTAGTGACCAGTTTTCCACCAGAGATTCGGATCTAAAGCAATTTGCGTTCATTTCTTGAGAAAGCAACGGAGCTCAGCTTAACAAGCTGCGGCTACTGTGAGAATTGGCACTTTAAGCACAAATCTTCAGCTCCAAAAATAATTAGGAATGCTTTTAAAAAAGAGTGAACAACTGGCAGATACCCTGTACTGAGATGTAAAGTATCCACTATGAGAATTGGCACTTTAATCCCAATTCTTCTATTCCTTAAATGGTTAGGAATGCTTAAACATAGAGAGAACGACTGCCAGATACCCTTTATACTGCTCCAAGGAATCCAATGTGAGTATTGGCATTTTAAGTGCAAATGTGTAGATCCAAAAATATGTAAGGCATACTTTAACATAGTGTGAGTGAACGACTGCCAGATACCCTGTACACAGCTCTAAGCTAAACTTTTTCGTTTTTAATAGGCACTTCAAGTTTAGACACGTGCATAACCAAATATGAATGTATAAATAGCTCCCACAGCTCGACTAGTAGATACCCTGTAAATAATTTTAAGGTTTGCAAGGTCATTGGTTAGCTTATTTGGTTGTTTAATCAACACGTCTAAGATATACCCTTCTAAAACTTGTCTGTAAACGACTAAGAGATACCCTCTACCTAGATGATAGTTATTTTAAACTTCGCCAAAAGCGGTTTCTCTCAATTGAAAGTCCCTAACAAAAATATGCTATGTACACAAAATACCCTGTAATTCGTCTAGTGAGCTGCTGTCTTGTCTTTTTAGTTGCTGCTAATTGTAAATTTCTCATATTAAGTCTACCACAAACATTTACTTAACTCTGTTGCTACCCCTTCCGCTGCATGTCATGCATAAGGGGTATAACTGGTCCACACGCTATACACAGAAATGCGAAACCCCTTTTATTTTTTCGGAGACAAACAGCAATTATTTATGGTCTTAGTTGTGGACATGTGAGGCGTTTGCTTTTTGCACTTTTTGTTGTGCCATGTTTGTCTTGTAAGACAAATGTGTAATTAATTGCGTCGCATCAAAAGGAAACTTGAAACGGAACTAACTAGCTAACTATTTGCATAGAGCATGTCTTGGAGCTGGCAAGGGCTGGGCTTGTCAGTTTTTAAAAGAGACACAAAACTCGAGCAACTACTTCCTGGCTCGTGCACGTGCTATTAATAAATCAAAAGGACAAGGCTCTGCGTCCGCCCGGAAGTCCAAGGCAAAGGCAAACAAATGAAATGACTTGGGTAAACTTTCTATTTAGAAAGTGAGATGGAGTCGGGCTCAAGGAAATAAGCCACAATAATCTGTGGGCAAGCGCGTCTCGTCGTGTCTGCAACTAATTGCATTTCATTGCATACATTTAGGCGCTGCAGCTGCTGCAGTCGAGATACACAAATTTCCCAGCGCAATCTTCCATCTTCAAATCACATCGCAAGCCGTAAAACGTTTCAAAATTGTAGCCAAATAGCCATGGAACCATCGTGCCATAGAGATTTCCATGAAGCCAACCACACACAAGTGCCTCAGCTTCGTCGCTGGCCAAGGATATCAAGCTGGCCACAGCCAACAGAAGGTAGTCTCCACTTGTGGGCCGTGCCGGGGGGCAGACTGGCCAAGTGTTGAGTGCTGCGGTAGGTTAACTAAGTGTGTACACTGTGAGAAATTGCTGCTGCTTGTTAGAGTCGAATATGTCTGGGAGAAAGTTAGAAAGTTTAATTGGAAATGCCAATGCCGGAAATCAAAATGGAAATATAAAAGTAGAAGAGAGTGATATAGGTTAAGAGACAGCTGCTATTATTTACTTATTATTATGATCACAATTTTGTGCCAATATTTTTTGCATTAATTTTCGCCTACATCTGAGTAATTGGACAAGCCTTTCTAGAAGAATATTCAAATTAAGCATTACCAATCTTTACATACTATACAAGAACTTAAGTAAGTAGCTCTTATAAGCTTCGAGGCTTTATTTGTTCTTAGATGCTTTCTTCTGCCTGTTACACATATTAGACCGAAACCAACCTACCCTATTTAACTGCTGAAGTATAGATAAATACTTATTCCTTTGTATTTAACTACAATCTTTGGTATTATCTCAGTTATTTATTTATTTGGCTTAATTTCTTGTTTATATTTTTTTATTTTCTTCATGTTGATTTTCACATTCTCAGCTAAATTCCTAGGTTTTATTTTGTTTACAGTGTATCCACTGTGCTATTTTTTTCAGTGTAGGCAAGCATAAGAAAAACCCGATGAAGGCATCAAACCAACGCCAACTCAGTCGAGTTATCCAAGTAGTCAACCAAGTTGTGTCTGTCTGGATGAGTGTGTTTGTGTGTGTGTGTGTGTGTGTGTGAATGAATGTGAATGCTCGCATTGGATAGCAAATGGGCAGTCGACAGCAGGACGCGACGTTCAAGTAAAAACAAAAAACACAAGGAAGTCTAGCACAAAAAAAAAAAACACAAATGAAGAAAACCAACAAGAACAACAAAAACACAAGGCGAGAGCAAAAGCTGGCAAAAGGCGTGGGTTTGGGGGGGTAGGGTGGATGGGCGAAGGGGAGTGGCAACAGCACAAAACGAAACAAATGAACACACACAGAAAAAGCACACGAAATGGCACTAGAGAGAAATGTGGCAAAAGCTGTGGAGGAGTCAAAAGTGTGGATGGGCTGATGGGGGGGGAGCGGGATGTATGAAACTGATGCTGTCGCTGTCTCAGCCGGTGCCGACGACGTCGCCGCCGCCGCCGCGACCCGTGCCCCACCATCTGTTCGACAGCTCGTAAACGGCAACGAGGATGTATGTGGTGAAAGTGAAGTGGCTCCCTCCGTGGCTCTAGCTCTGACTGTGGCTGTGGCTGTGGCTGTGTCTCAGTGCCCAGTGGCTGTGGCTGTGGCTGTGGCTGTGGCTGTGGCGCCTGCGACTGCGAGTCGACTCCGACTTGGTGTTGATTGCTGTTTGGGGTTTTTAAAACGTAGTTAGGCTGCCCGGCTGTGCAGCATATGAAAACGACACCCGCGGCACAGGTGTAGAGCACCCAGGAGTGTCGTCGCCGGCAGCCATATAACACCCCATACGGCAATTTCAATGGTTATGTTTCAGCTACAGGCACACGCAGTGCGGGCACAGCAGCAAAGGGGGGCTAGCTGGCTGGGCTGGGCGGCTGTGAGGGGGTATTCAATATGTGACAAAATACAAGTCGACTTACCGGAATAGAAACTGTCCAGACTGTGCAGCTCCTCGTCATCGTCGTAGTCCTCATCGCCGCTGAGGCTAAGCAAATCATCCGCCAGCTCATCCTCATCCGCATCCTCGTCCATATCCTCGTCGGCTTCGTCTGCATCAGCTGCCTCTGTCATGTGCTGGCCTGTAAGAAGTGGAAGGTCAGTTGTTGTTGTCGTTCTTGTTCTTGTTCAGCTGCTGCAGCTTTGAACTGCGGCACGTTCCACAGCCGCTAGCTGCATGCCACGTCCCCAGTTGCAAGGAATTTTGATTATGCTATGCCCCTGGGTGCCATAATTCCATGCCCAAGCAAAGCCTTGCCCCCCTCCTCCACCCGCTCCGACACTGAGACCCTGCTCCCCACAATCTGGCCAAGTGTTGTCTTAAGAGCATTTAAGAGCGTGTCCTTGCTGGGCGCAGGCGCCTGGCCAGCGAGTCCTGCTGAGCGCAGCGAAGAGCACAACTTGTTTTGATTTTGGCCACACAAATATCTCTCTTGCCAAAAACAGCTGTTGGCCAAGTTGATTTGTTTGGCTAAGCACGTGTTGTGCCTGCCTCCTAGAGGGGGGCTTATCTATGTAAGGAGGGCGGGCGCTTGAACCTGTCTGCGTTAACAGCGTGGAATGCGTGGCGCAACATTTTCTTCGCATTACTCATACGCAACGTTTGACGCGTCTTTGTCTGGACTTGTCAGAAGGGGTGGCTGGGTGGCTTCTGTAAATACCAATGTCTCAGCAGCTCTACGTCTGGCTGGCAAATTCATTGAGTTGTCATATTTTATGCTTGGGTGTTTTGGTGGGAATATTTGTGATATAAATTCCTAAAGAAATACCAAAGTGTAAAGCTTTGACATTGTTATACCCCATTGAATATAGCCAATACTTGATATATTCTGTGTAAGTTCTTCAGCTGGGCTCATCTAAGAATATTCCAACGGATAGTCAACTGTTACTGAGTGCGCTAATCTTTAACTTAGTCTGAAATTCAAACTCATAAGCTTTAATCTGCTGCATTTGTTAGACTTTGGCTTGGTGTTCCTTATGTCTTGCGGGTTATGTCTTCTAAAATAAGCAAGTAAGAGAGATAGTGTAGAGAGTAGAAATTGGGAAACGGGGGGAAATGATCGATTATCAGACTGTGCAGGCATCTACTTTTCAAATTTCAAGTCGCTTGCTCTTATATTTTCTAGGATAGACGACAAATGAACGGGCAGACGGGCAGACAGACGGGCATGGATAGATCGACTCGGCTGTGGATGCTGTGCAAATAGTTTTTTACTTTATGGGCTCGGAGATGCTTCCATCTGCCTGTTACATACACTCGCACGAAACCAGTATACCCTTTTTACTCATTTAAAAAGAAATGCCATGCTGTTTGTCGCAAATTGTACGCTTATGCAACGGAAATTTGGCCAACTCCTTCTTAGTTTTTACTTTGTAAAAGCCAAGCTCGTACGGTCAGCCAGTCAATCAATCAATCAATCTGTCAGTCAGTCAGTCAGTCAGTCACATCTCAACTTTTTCATATAACCTTTGACTTCCTTTGGCCCTTCACCTCCCTCCTTCTCAAAGCCCGCAATGAAAGACTTTGTATTCATCCCAATAAAGGACCCAATGCCCCTTAACTATCCCACATAAAAGTTAACAACTCTCTTATACATTTAAATCTTTAGCTTTATAGTTTTTAGCCAGCCAACTCCCTTGGACACCTGCTTTAAGACCCTATCAAAGCCAATCAATGCGTCTGTGCCTTGCCTCGAATTTGGGCTCAAATAAAACCCATCAACTAATTAGAACCCAAATGTAACTGGCAGCATAAGCTACGGCACACAAATTTTGGGTTACTTGTCGTGATGCGTTTTTATTAGTTTCTAATGACAAAATGAAATTTCGGGCAGCAGCAACAACAACAACAAAAGCAGGGTGACACCATGCAACATTCTAAGCGTGAACATGTAGGGCTTCAGCCATTTCTTTGATGGCGCCAATGTCCACGTTGTTGTTGACGTCGATGGCGACGCTTTTGACGATGTGCTTTTATGCCACACTTTGCATACGCGCATAAGCTGGCAGAGTGTGACAGGGGGGGGGGGGGGGGGGGGGGGGGGGGGGGGGAGTGGTGCGACAGTGAACGTTGCCACACGTCCAATAATCCTTGTCCTCCAACTGGGGAATACTTCATCAGCGGAAACAAAATTTTACGAATTTCTCTGCGAGTGTGTGCGAGTGTGTGCGAGTGTGTGTGGAATGTTGCACGTGCGCCGAGCGCCATCTAGCGGCGGCCACACGGACAACTTGCTACATGCCAAAAACGCAAGTGCAACGTTTGCCTGGGCGACGCGGCCAAATGGCGACTTTGACACGACAGTCGCCGCTGCCCACCCCAGCCCACCCCTCCTCCCCCTCTCTCTCTCTCTCTCTCTCTCTCTTCCCCCTGTGCTGCTTTTGCCTCGATGTTGATGATTATTCAACATGCGCTCTTTGGGGAGCCGTATGGCCTGTGCCCCCACTGAACCCCCTGTAGCCCCACTTTGTTGTCTTCTTTAGCTGCTTTCTAACACGCGCTGCCAACCTCCCCACCTTTTTGATACCCTTGCATTGGGTTTTATTAACTCTGGTATGAAATGTCTCTTGCAGAATCGGAGACATGTATATATTATTGGTATTATATTATAAGGCTCCAATAGGAACAATCGATTCAATATGCGATCTTTTATATTTTTATGTTTTCTAAGAGCATTTTATTTGGTATTTGAAGATATTTTAAACAAGTCTCAATTACGAGCTTTGCAATGTTTGAATTATATAGGTAAAATCTTATTGCGCTTATATATCAATATATAGCTGATATTGGAAAAATCGGCAAAAACACAGCGCCTACTATATAGCTAACTACAGGCACGATCGGTCAGTTGTTAACTTTTATGATAATCTTGTTTTTGAATATATTAGGATGAAATGAAAAAAAAAGAAATACCAAAAAGATCAATTACGACATTTACTATGTTTCAAATATATATGATTGTTATTAACATCTTACTACTATATAAATATATAGCTGACATAGGAAGAATATGATGAAAATTGGGTCTTTTGCACAGCTGCTGAATTATTTTTAGAGTATTAAAACGTCGTCATTTTGCAGATAGCTTGTCTTTCTTGCTTGCCCTCTCTCTCTCTCTCTCTCTCTCTCTCTCTGTCTTTTTCACTGTCTCTTTTTGTGGCCTGCTGCAAAATTGGCTTTCGTCGAATTGTTGCTTTGAGTTTTGCAAATTTTTCGACACCACACACCGACGCTCATTGCGTTTTTATGGATGGCTAGAGGGCGGTGCATGTGTGTGTGTGTGTGTGTGTTAAGAGGGGGAGAGGAGCATGTGTTTGTGTGTGTGTGAGTGCCTGTTTGGTTGCATTCATCAGCATCGACAGTCGCCTGGGCTAATTTTATGGCTCGCATCTTGCGCGCTCGTCATGTTAATGAAGCTTGTGCTATGCGTGTGTGTGTTTGTGTGTGTGTGTGTGTGTGTGGTGTGTAGTGTGTGTGGCTCATAGATCGAACGAAATTTGCATATGATGCCAGCGCCATCTTGCGGCCATTAGGTGAGGCGCGCGTTTTTATGAAGCAGACGATGAGCTTTGATGTTGCTGCTGTTGTTGTGCCTGTGCCTGCCTATGCCGTGCCACGCCCACATATGCAAGTTGTTGCCGCTGAAGCGGCTGCAACACGCAGAACACTCGCACAAATTTCCCAAAGCGACGCCCACAACAAAGCAGCAGTAGCTCAGGCCCAAGACCAGATTCTGGTCTCGACCCAGGTCCAGGTCCAGGTCCGGCTACTGCGCCAGACCCAGAGCCAAGCGCACAACCAGTCCGACAACAACAACAACGTATGGCACTTGGACACTGCAATGTGAACGCGCGGACTCCTCGAGTCCACACTGCGCCAGCGCACCGTCCCCAGGGAGCGGCTGAAGCGGCCGCCGACTGAGTTCTCCCCAGGGCGAGAGAGTACAAAGACACAGAGCAGAAGCCGACATGGGGGAGGGGTAAAATAGGTGGCCGGGAAGTGGAGTCAGCTGGAGCTTCACAGCTAGCATATAGCAGACGCTCGCTCGCTCTCAACCGTGGCGCTCTGCGACTCGCTCTTAATTCGATTCGTTTGCCTCAGACGCTGCTCCTTTGCCTTATTCCCATACACCCGCCCGCCCGCAAGCCCGCCTGCCCGCTCCCTGGAGAATTGTTGCGCAAATGCTTTTTGTGTGTTTCTCTGTTTGAAAATTATTGCAAGCAAAATATACAAAAATAAAAAGAATGAAATAAAATACCAAACGAAATGATATGATATACTATATAGAGATATAAGTATGTTCGTCGCCCAAGGGGCAGCAGCAGGGGTTGGGGGTGGGGTTGGGTATTGGTTTCGGGCGGTCTCCACATGTCTCTGATGCAATTAACTGGCGATAAATGACTTATGCAGTGAAACGTAGTTGGGCGTGCATGTGCAGCGGAATTATTAAAATCGATAGACGAGCAATCGATATTTACAAGAATATCTTACATATGCAAGCATGCATATATAAATTGTTAACTCTTATTCTAGACTCTCAAGAGCAGCTAGAATTGGGTTTTTTCGTAATCGTTAACTTTAAATTTAACTTTAACTGATGACAGACATGTATCGATATATCGATTGAAAGGGTCAAGAAGCACTAGGATGCTTCCGTTTTAAATACAACCTACACATATTTGTATAACTATTATTAGTAAGTTATCGAATAATTACAGGCATTTCAATCAATTAAATACAGGCAACTGATAACTATATGCAAGACAAGTGATAATTGCATGTTATCGATTAACTACAGGCAATCGATAAGTGCGTGTTATCGCTTCGTTTAAGGCACTTAGGAAAATTGATAAACCAAAAACATTCGTTAAGATCAATAATAATTTAATATATATAAATAATTGCACATGGCGTTGCACTTTTAGCCAGACGCAAACAAACTGTGACCAATTTATCGATTAATTGAAGCCACAGTCGACTATGTTTACAATCGAGATAATCATTAATCAATATGTGGCATGGCATATTGCTATGGCCCGGTCGCAGCTATTTGAACCCATCAAAAGTTTGTCATACCATTTGTCAAAATTCCAGACAACATCAAGCCACACACACACACACACACACACACGTACACTCACACACACACATTCCGACTCTATGCAATTCCCTAATCAAAGCCACTGAAAGCAATGAAGTTTTGTCATAAAATTTTACGCACCTTTCGTGCGTTCCCAACGGGTCTGTGCCACCCGCTCATATAAGGTTTTCTGCACCTGATAATTTTACTACACACACTCAAGGCGACTATGTGTATGTGTGTTGGTGGGTGGGGGTGTAGTGAAAGGTAGATAACTCACTTTTGTTTCATTTTTCCAATACACAACGGAATAATAATGGCAAAATGAGCAACTTCGCTATGCAACAAGAAGATGGCTCGGTCTCGGTCTCGGTCTCAAGATGCTCCCCAATGAGCATACCAATAAACATGCTACACACACACACACACACACACAGGCACGCACACTCTGTTAGCTCCTACGGCCCCGCCCCCCCTGCCACATTGTGTCACTGTTGTTCCCACTCGACTCGGCTGCTTATATGGCAATGTATAATTTTTATTCGCACCCAGGTTGCTCCCCACGGATGTGTCGTCCTCTCTTGCACACCAAACGTAGCCAAACTGTCAAACAGGACCCCCCCCCCACACCATCTTCTATTCCCTGCAACCCCTTCCCACCCACCGGGGCAGGCCCATCGTTTTAGTGTGCAGCCACACAACCGAAATATTGCAACATAAAACTTTACACAAATATAATCTATAAGCAGCAAAACTCATATTAATGTCATATGAAAGAGACAGCAGAAGCGAGCACAGACAGAGACAGACAGAGAATGAGAGAAAGAGAGCGAGCTGGGTGAGAGAGTATATTATAGCCACAGCCTTGGATAGCGAATGCCACATGTTTCTGGGTCTGAGTCTGAGTGTGTGACACTTTGGCGCACAGTGGTGCAAAATATATATATATAAATTAAAATATGCGTGCAATCAGAAATTAATAAGCAACATCTTATGACATTTTATATTTTGAATGGTCTAGTCAAGTAGTTTTTTCTTGGTCTAATATTTGCGAGTCGAATGAATTGCCTAGCTTTATACATGATAAAATATCAATTCTTGAGTAAGTTGGTGTCACTGTGCTGGGGCCTGATGGTGCCTCAACTTGGGCCGTGTTGTTGTTGCGCACAAAAGGGCCAATTCGTTCTCGCCGGGTTTCGCATGGCAGCAACAACAACAACAACAACAACAAGAACAACAACAGCTGCAGAGGCAGAAAGACAATTTTCGGATCCCCCAAACTTATCACAGCCTCTCGATTTCCCTTTAGAACATTATACAACACACTAGAGAGCACTGGCAGTACAAGTGAGAGTGCCGGCGGGGCGTGCTGTCCAAGGGGCGGAGGAGGCGGCAGCTTCATGGCTACAATGACAGTAAACGAAGCGACGCAGGCAGCAGCAGAGGACGCACTGCAGCAGTGTACTTGTCATACATATAAAGCGTGCAGGCGAGACAGTGAGAGAGAGAGAGAAAGAGAAAAGGGGAGAATGAGTCAAGCGAGAGAGAGAGAGCGAATAGAGAGTGTAGCTGCGCGCATTGGTGATAAAGTTTGGCCCTCCATAGGGCCGTTAGTGGGGCCCTATGTGCGAGAGTGAGGTTAAAACCGACTTGGCCAGAGCCACAAGCAAAACTTGAGCTCCCAGGTACAACAGCAACAACAAGAAGAGCAGCAGCAGCAGCAGCAGCAGCAGCAGCAGAAGCAACAACAACGGCACCCAGACGTACAACATGCCACGGCTCACTCGTCCAGCTGCCTGCTGCATGCTCCCAATGGCTGACTGTGTGTGAATGTGTGTGTGTTTGCGGAAGAGGGAGGGGTGGGGGGCGTGGCAGAGCCTGTCGCTTTGGTCTAGCCTGATGATGATGTTCTATGCCGCCGCTTGGCTTGTCTGCCTGTCCAGCGGGAATATGTGCCCGGCAATGGCAGCGGCAACAGAGAAAAGAGCAACAAATAATGAACAAACACACGCATACACACACGCACACACACACATGCAGTTTGCCAGTGTGTCTGTGTGTGTGTGTGTGTCATCGGATTGTGCTCCATTTAAACATGGCGCTTGCTCTATTATTGTTGGCTGAACCAGCAACAACAGCAAAAACACGAACAGCAGCAACTACAACAACAACAACGACATCAGAAACAATAACAACAACAAGTGCCATACCATAACGAGCAGCGCTTTGAATCGATGACTTTACACACCCAAGTGCCATAATCCAATGACGCACAGGAATATCAAAAACAACAACAACACACACGTGTATTGGCTGTGCGTGCGTGTGTGTGTCTATGTGTATGTAAATGTGCGCGCGTATGATGCCGCATGGACACATCAAACTTTATGCACCGACAGCAGCGGCAGCAGCAGCAGCAGCAGCAGCAGCAGCAGTAACAGCCTCCATTGCGGCGCCGGCTGGCATGGGCATGCTCATACAGGGTGATTCGGGTGCAGCGCGTGTTATGAAAGAAAACTGTTGCCTACTTTACAGCGCAACATTTATTGCCTGAACCACTTGCCCTACTACGGATACATATTTCTTTGTGCTTCAATAAGCAATATTTATCGACTTTTAAGAATTTTTATTTAAAATTCTAATATGACAGTAATTTGTGATATGCATTGGATTCTGTTTTGAAATATTTTTGGTTTATTTTGTTTTTTCTTTCGTCTCAGATAGTTTCCTCAGCATTCTATCAATATATTTCTATCTATTTTTTTTCTCTTCTGAAGGTCGATAATAATTATATATAAATGGTCAATTATATTGCGCTATTAAAAATTAAACACTTTTAGTAACATTTAGTTCATGAAACAAAGAATTTTAAAACCCATCGAAAAAGTATCATTAAAATGAGTAAAATATATTTATTATTATAGTGAGATAAGAAAAAGAATTCGATCGATGGATATTATTTAAAAATAATTAATTATTAATCGGAAGTAACTATTATAAAATGTTCATTAACTAGTTTTTCAAGCACATCCCCATCAAGATGATAATATTTGGAGTGCCTAAATGTCATCTAAAAGAGTTTGTTTATATTTATCGATCTCTTGTCAGAAAGTATTATTAATGAACACCCTGTTAATGGCGCTCACTGTAACATTATCCAATTTACAAGCTAGTTGCGCTCTTTTAAACAGCAATGGACCAAAACCTGGAAGCTGGAGCTGCAGTTGGTGGAGCCACACGTAGCCACAGTTGTTGGCCAGTAAAAGACCCAACAGCAACAGCAGCAACAACAAGTTAACATTTGCTATTTATGAGACTGTCGAGAGTTATTAGCCGGACATGTCAATGCCTCAAGGGGCATGCCCAAGACGATGACTTGGACTTGAAACGTGGGCGGCAACGGGCTGGACACGGACCATGTGCAAGATGTGTGTCTCTTTGGGGCATGGTTACGTTGTTGGGGTGCACAGGGGTAGGTGGCAGCGGGTAGGGGGCAGTTGTAGCACTGGTTTTTTGGTGCTGCAGCTGTTCATATCGCATATATCTTTTGCCAAAAGGCAATAAAATATGCAAATTGAAGTCAAACTTACCAGTGGCAATGGCAATGGCTGCGGCACCGCTGCTCCTCGACTTGCAGTGCCCATTGGCGGCATGGCTGCCCGTGGCTGCAACGTTCAGAGACGTTGCCTCAGCCGCATCCCCAGGGCGTTGTAGTTCTTCTGCAGCTGCTGCTGCTGCTGCTTCTGCTTTTGTTGCAGCAACATCGGCTGCTGGCTGCCAGTTTTGTTGCTGTGATTCATTGGACACTCGCGCCTGCTGCTGCTGCTCCTTTTCAGGCTCGTTCTCATCGCCACTCGGCTCTGCGTCTGCTTCATCTTCCTCCTCCTCCTCTTCGTCGGCGCTCAGCAGCTCCTCTTTGGGCTCTAGCAAATCCGAGGCTTTGGGCGTTTTTGTTGTCTCGCCGCCATTTTCATCCTCCTTTTCGCCAACTGCAAGAAAAAACATAACGTAATTAAAGCTAATCAATTATTTGTGCACAAAAGCTGTTGACCAAAATTAATAAGCTTAGAGTAGTCGACTAGGCAATACCCTGCATGCAACTAAGAAAAACACCCAAATATTAATTTTTCGGATAGCATTTTCTATGATTTTGTTCCTTAAGTTATCAGAATAGACTTAAATGACGGCCCTGCATACCCTGTATAAAGTTTATCTTATCTGTGTTGAGTATGGGGTATTATAAAGGTAAGGGTATTCTAAATGCTTTCAAGACCTCAACAATTCCACACGTTAAGTGATGTATTCTATATCCTGGCATACCCTTACAAGCGCTGGTATACAGGGTATACAAAATATATAATTTATGCCGAGATAACTTAAGTTTTTCTCTTGCATAGTTGAGCATAATCTACCACCAAAATATTCGTAAGTGTTTCGTTTGGTATGCCCACTCACTATACGATATTTGTACAGGGTATGCCATAAAAACAAGAAATTCATTTGCAATACACTCGCACCAATCGCCAAATTGTTTGCCCTGCTCAATGTACTCGATGCCTAGACAGCGAGCACTTGCCGGACACACCAATGCTAAGCACTGAGCACTGAGCACTCAAACTCATACTCATACTTGCACTCATACTCATATTCGTACTCATACTCATGCAGATTATGCTAAAGCACTCCCCGGGCGGCCATCGTGCCAAAAATTCTATTTACACGTTTTGTGTTTTATTGTTGGTGCCTGGCTACGGGTTTTCAGTCTAAAGAAAACTGTTGCCAATAGCTCAAAAACTCTGGCGAGTGTGCTGGTATGTGTGTGTGTGTGTGTGTGTGTGTGTGTGTGTGTGTGTTAGTCTCCGGCAAAGCCGCACGTGATCGATGGCGCTCGCATGGCTGCTGCCAGTCTTGAGGGGGTCGTTGGCGTTGCCAAAACAACTGCCTTAAAAGTAATTGCAAGGGGTGCACCAACAACAACAACAACAACAACAGCAACAACAGCAACAACAACCACAAAAACCACAAGAACACGACAAACAACAGCCAAGAACAAGCACAACAACAGCACTCGAGCAGCTCGTACAATATGGAAATGTGGAACATGTGTAATTGTGCAATTAAATTGAATTTTTCATAAATTTCTTCCTCTTGTTTTTTTTTTTTTTTTTTTGATGCGCGTTGCAAATGTTGCGTTTATGTGTGTTTTTGTGGTCATTGGGCGAGCCACAGGTGGAATCTCATTTACCAGGTGTTGCTGAAGAGTTACATTTCGGTGCACGAAACACCCTGTGAATAAAGTGCTGCCAGCTAATCGTGACGGCGTTGCCAACTCTAAACACAACTTGACAGGATGCTGTAAAAATCAAGTCCTTTACAGTTGCTTGTTTAACTGACATGAACTTTGACAGCCGCTTGAGCAGATTTTACAATTACTTCTTTGAATAACTCTAATTTTGGGCTAGTTTAGCTTTGTGGAACTCAACTAGTTCGAAAACAAATTCCATTTCAATTGAACCTATTGATTGTGTTAGCTAAGCAAAGCTTACGTAAATATCTAAATGTTAAATTCGACTTTAATTTAACTGAAAGAACAGCTCTTTATTATATATACACAATACTTTGCTTTGGTTCGAGTTTTTCGCTAATGATCTTTGTGACTTAAGACGTTTATATTTCAGATTTTAAATTATTTTATAACAATTTTTAAGAATTTTAATCAACTTCAAGCTATATTATATATATAAACTGCCCTTTCTCAACTCTTAACTTAAATCTTTGAGCCTTTAGACTTAAGTCAGTTTTTCTAATATCTTTAAAAGAGTTATCTTTTATTGTTACTATTGATATATTTTATATCTGTTAAAAAGATACAATGCTTACTTTCAAACCAATTCGAAATGCATATGTTAGGCCCGCGCAAACTGTGAATGATTTACCCCAGCAAAAGGTGGAGTAGTCAGGTGTGCGGTAGGGGGAGGGGCTTGGCAACCCCATATAGGTGACCGCGGCAAGGTAACGGCTTAAAATATATTGCCAAAAGGACATGCCGGAATCACACCGCAAGGAATCGCCACGAAAATCAACATTATGCCAAGCCGGACGATTGCCAGAGCTGTGTCTCTGGTCCTGGTCAACATAATGGTAAAGTCGACGACTTTCTGTCCATGCGAAAACATTTGGTTATTATTTCCATATAAAGGCCCAGCGCTGCAGCGAAACGAACGAGCGGGCCATAAAAAGAGCGCGAGCCACTTGAAAGGATGTGAGAGAAGTGTGTGTGTGCGAGTGTGTGTGTGTGTAAATGGGTGATGGGTGCCGGGCATGGGGAATCAATGGTGAGGAGGGGAGCCGTTTGCGGCGGAAGTGCCGCGTATTTTAAAATAAATGCGAGCAAGGGTTTGTGTGTGTGTGTGTGAGTGTGTGTGATGTGTGTGTGGGGGGGTGTGAGAACCAGTTATGGTCGTTAAAATTGTCGAAGCAACGCAACAACAACAACAACAACTGTAACAACAGTGGCGACGACGACGACGACGTAGTCAAGTTCTTTTTGTGCAAGGCAGAAAGGATGTGTGTGTGTGTGGTGTGTGTGTGTAAGCGCCCATATGTATGCAAGCGATTTTCATTTTTGTTTAAAGCCCCCCAGAGTGCATTTCGCACTCGGTCGCTGGCAGTGCATGTGTGCGTGTGTGTGTGTGTGTGTGTGTGGAGCGCAAGTGCCCGCATGTGTGTTTCTTACTTGTTTTTCGGCTATGGCATGTTTTTAAGCGTTTTACCCCAACCAGACGCAGAACGCCAAAAAGGTGCGCACTTACACACTCACACACACACACACACAGACATACTCACATATTTGTAAACGTAATAATAAGCGTTGTCCCCTTTGACCCATCAATCCGTTGCCACTACCCAAAAACCCGCCGCTTGCCACTTTTCCAGCTCCCAAATGGCTACTAAGCGTGTGTAGAGAGCGACGAGCGAGCGAAACGCTCGGCAATCGTAATGGGTGGAAAAAGGAGGGGAAATGGGAAGATGGGGGGGGAGTGGGTGTTTGCCAGCTAAAAACAAAGCCAGCGCCACAGCCTGCAACTTTTATAATGGCATTGGCATGTATGCCATGTATGTGTGTGTGTGTGTGTGTGTGTGTGTGTGTGTATTAAAAAAATAATGAAATAAAAAACCCGAAGGTGTTGTTAAAAGCGCCAACAATAAATTTCATCAATAGTTTGCGCGTAAAACAGCTAAAAGAAAAATAACCAAACAGTTGGCAACGCCAGCAAAAATCGATAAACGTAACGATCACATATATGAATGACCCTTATTGCACAGACAATTAACTAGCATTGTGCAGAATTTAATAAACAAATACACCCAAACGACTGATGGCTTTAAGTGTAAGCTTAGGTATTTCCCCGGAGCATGCGATTGACAAAATGTTGCTGCCAGAAATTTGCCCCAACAACTGCTGCGATTTAACTAACTGGTCACACTTGAAATGTATGCACATATATACATTTGTATGTGTGTGTGTGTGTGTGTAGAAGACATGTGTTGGCAAGTACAGCAAAATGAATAATCGATAAGCCTAGCGATCACATTTGAGCGTGACCATTTAACAGGGCACATATCGATAAGGGGTTTATAAAGAAGGGAAATAAGCAGAAGAATTTCCCTGTTGCTAGGACTTTTTCAAGTGATCAATTTTGTGTTGTAATTAAACAGTTAGGTGGCTTATTGAGAAATTAAATACAGCCAACGTTGGCGGGCTTAAAGTGCAAGCATAGGAATTTCCCTGGAGCTTGCGCTTGACAAAATGTTGCTGCCAGAAATTGCGTCCCTTGGGCAAACGGAGACAGCACAGCATTTCGATACGAACGCCCACAGCAAATCTATTTACCAAACTAGTTACCGCTAGACGCGTGTGTGTGTGTGTGTGTAGGTATGTGGTACATAAAGGCTTTATATCCAGAGCAGGCACATAGCCTATGCCCAAAGTGCCTGCTGCTATTTTGGCGCCGCGCTCTTTGCAATGTCATAGCAAATATTTTGCCAATACACAGGGGACGCGCGCACACGTTGCCGCTGCCGCTGCCGTTGCCGTTGACGTTGCCGACGAGGACGAGGCAAACGCTGTGGCGCAGCCCGGCAAACGGGCAACTTATGGCAGCAAAACCCTGTCGCAATGCTAAGCCGCGCCTCAGCAGCGCCAATTCTCCAGGCGTTGATGGCGACGTTGGTTTTAAAGATTTTCGCTGCACATTTTTGTTAGCTGAAAGGGGCGCGCATAGTTGGGTTCCCCAAAAAAAAAAAAAAAACACATGCCCCAAAATCAAAGTTAAATTTTGAGCTGTTGTTGTTGCTTGTCAATAAGCACGCACTAATACACAAGCGAGCATGCGAGCATGCATATGCATATGTGTGTGTGTGTGCCGCGTCAACGAATGAAAATTCCCCAGAGAATTGCGCATGTTACGTTTGCTGTTGTTGTTGCTGCTGCTGCTGCTGCTGCTGTTGTTGTTGTTGTCTGTTGTCTGTTGCCTGGCGGCTGGCTGCGCCAATGTCAATCCCCTGGGATTGGCCAGAGCCGTTGTCGACTCCCCTGAGAAATACATGGCAATGGGTTTTCTGTGTTTTGTGCTTTTTTTCTTTCGAGCACACACAAAGAGAGCGAACGCACGCGAGAGAGCGAGAGAGAGCAAAATACAAAAAAAAAAAAAAGAGCAAAGCCAAAGTTCGCTTCACTTTTTTTTTCTTTATTTTTTTTGTGTTGTGTTGTATACGTTGGGGAAATTTTATGCCCGCTACGCTGTGTGCAAGTGCATGTGTGTGTGGTGTGTGTGTGTGTGTGTGTGTGTGTGTGAGGATTCGTGTGTGTAAATTTGTGTGCGGCGCTGTCTTTGGGGGCTTCGAGCCGGTTGCCAGTTACCGCCTCACATGTGCATTGGATTTATTGTCAATTTTATTTGTTATCATTGTTGTTGCTGGCGTTGCCTTTCCACTGTATGTGTGTGTGTGTGTGTGTGTGTGTGTGTGTTTGCTGTTATTTACACTGACACAATTTGAAATTGTATTAAAAATTAACGGCACTTTGGTTGCCTTGGCTGCAGCACTCGATGTTGCAGCTGCAGCCAGACATTTTAGCCACATGCTACCTTTTTGGGGTTTACCTGAATGAACGTTACCCCAACACATCCCCATGCTTGCCCCTGCGCCACTCTCTTTACCTGTCTGACAGTTAGGTGTACCGTTACCCTAGGGGCTGCTGCTGCTGCTGCTGGCCGTGTAGCTGCCCTGTAGCGCCCCCTGGATTCTCCGACCCCTCCCTTTGCACTTGTCACATTTTGGCTTCGGGCTAGGTCCCGCGTTGCTACAGGCCCTGCCCCAAATCAATCAAGCACACACTCACACACACACGCACACACACAGCTACGATTTGAACTGCTGTCACTTGGGAGCTGCCGCTGCTGTCCAGCTTTGAGCTTGAGGGGCAAACTTACGTTTCAAGCAGGCGCGCGGCTTGGCCTGTTTACGCCTGGACATGGCCAACAGTGTCAATGGACGAGGGGGCAACTGTAAGAGGAGGCGGCACAAAGGTAACACAACGCACAAATTAGTAACTGTAAGCGCGTAAAAAAGCGCGCCAAACACGTGTTCACTGTAAATCACTGGGCAAATGATTTGGAAATTCTTGAACTGCTCGAGCTGTTAGATATCCTTGCGCCTGCAGCGTTGGCAACTGACTGAAACTTGCCTGTTGGCCCAAAATCCTCGTGACATGCCAAAACACACGCCGCCACGAAGAGCACAAGCTCTGAAACAAAATGGCAAACGACGCCAGCAAGAGAGCGAGAGAGAGAGCGCGCGCGTAGCAGAGCGCAAAAGAGAGAACGCCTCAGAATGCGTGAGTGCGTAAGTGTGACTGAGAGCGCAATGTCACCCAAAGAACCACCCAAAAACACAGCAAAAGCAACAGCGAGCCGAAGCCTTTAAACTGCCGGCAACACACACACGCACACACACACACACGCACACACACAAGGCCAAAGTAAGAAAAGGAATAATAATAATAACAGCGTCCCTTGGGGGTTGCTGCCGCAACATATTCCATCCCCTAGAGAATCGGGGCGCACCAATCGGCGGTTGACGGCGCTGGGTGCCCAGTGGCTTTATAGCCACATGCTGCGCCGAATGCGCCGTAGGAGATTGCCTTGCCGCCGCTTGTTGCAATTAACAAAGTCAAGTCAATTATTTTGCTGCGACTCGCGACTTTCGCACGTGCGTATGGGGGGTCCTGCAAGGACATCTTTCATTTAGCCAAGGTGCTGACAACCAGGCTGTTGCTTTCTCAGCAGCGGGAGCCGGGCGACGGGCGACGGGCGTCGGCAGTCGCCTTCAGCAGTGCGTGAGAACGAGAAGGCGACGCCGGCGATAGCACTCCAAAAAAGCAGGAGCAACAGCGGGTAACTAAATTCGTATTCATCAATTCCACTCAATCTGAAGAGCTGCGCCTTGGGTTACGCATGCAATTCTTGTGCTGCTTCTGTTTCACCCTTAAATCTCTTCTATTTTTTTCATATGCTAGTCAATTTACAATTGAATGACTTTTCCTTAGCATCAAGATTATTAAAGTTTACGTTTAATTGTTTGACTTGTGACTGTTCGATAATCAAAATATTTGTGCTTAACTTTTTTTTCTTCTCGTCTTATTAAAGCCTTACAGATTTATTTCTCGATAATCAGAGATTGGGACAGAAGTTCCACTATCCACTTTTATAATAAAAAGCCAATTCAATTTAACAATATAAGAATAGCTTATATTAAATTGATGGCCGTCAGAACATGTCTGCAAGACTTTGAGAAAATCTTCGTTGAAGAAGCTAGGGTCGGACATAGGACCTCCAAGTTCAGCAGGATGCCAAATAGATCTAAAAGTTCGCAGTTTCTAAACAATCCTTCGAAAGTATTCCTTTAGTTAAGTTAACGTAAACATTATTCAAACCCTTCAAATTTGTTGTACATTTCGTTTTAAAGGCACCTATCTCTTTTATTTGCGTGTTTTATGTTCAAATTAATTTTCAGTTTTATAGATTTTATTTAATTTAAATGTTGTGGATCGTATCCAACTTTGAATATGCGCGCCGTAAGCAGTGCAGATAAGCTATCACTGAAATGCACTGCTTGGTCTACAACACGTGGCACTGCTTGTATGCAATTTAGACTGCTTGTGCGCGCCTAAGAGTATGCTATGGTTAAATGCAAAATTTAAATATTATTCAAGTGATGTGTTCGCATTAATAAAAGAAGAAGAAAGTTAGAGAAGAATGAAAGCGAAAATGGGAATTAATAATAATTAATAATCAGAAAAAGTTTATTATTTTTGGAATTACAACGTTTTCCCGACTATTTATTGATGATAATTGCATAGAAAGGCGATCATCAGCGAAAGTTTATTATTCTGGGGATTATATAGCCTTTTCCATTGTGTACATGAACATGTAGTTCAGAGCTTAACTGCCATTTTAGTTTCCTTTGGCTAACACAGAAAAGAAAAGACCAGCATCCACTCGAGGATGATACAAGTTTCCGCTTGGCAACCGCACCTATATCCAATCCATCTGCCCCCATGCGGAAACCTTTCGTTTCGCTGCGCCGCCCTCAGTGCTCCATTCATCAATTAATTCATGAAGCCTGGCCGGGAACTCCTCGTTGTTTACCATAGTAAATACGAGGCGCGTAGTAAAAGTAGCGGCAAGCGGCGTCTTAACCCAGTCGAAACGAGCCAGAAAAACCAAAAAAAAAAGAAGAAAACATCTGTCGCGGCAGCATTAAAAATCCGGTTGCAAGCTGCAACATGGCCAAAGATGAGGCCAAAGTACGAGTTATACGCAGAACATATGATTGAGTTCCCAAAAAGAAAGAAAAAAAAAAAACACAAAATGCACCTTTTGTGCGTTTTGGAGCAGCAGCTGCTGAGAGCTAAATCCTCGACATCATTGTGAATCTGGCTGCCGCCTGTTGCTCGGCTGCTGCGGCAACAACAACAAGTTGTTGCGCCTACGAAAAACACAATAACAACAACAACAACAAAATAACATATTGATGAGCAGGACGAGTATCTCATGTTGTTGTTGTTGTTGTTGTTGTTGTTGTTGTCAAAAGGAAGCAGGCACATTAAATTTGGAGTTTGTCGTTCAACTTTGTTGAGCCAGCAGCTGTCGCCTGGGCTTAAATAATACCAGAGGGGCTCGCTGCGAATTTGTAGATAGGTCAAGTACTCAAGTAAAAATGCATAGATACATAGATCTATAAAAAAGTAATAAACATACCAAATACCTAAACATACCCTCCACAAGCATATCATAAATTCGACCACCTCTTTTCCATATTAATTTAATTAAATATTTTCATTCGTTTTCCTTTCATCTTATCCAATCACACTTTAGTGTATTACTTCAATTTTTTTTAGGCACAAAGAGAGTTTTAATTTTTTTGATAATGCATTTATTGAATGAGTTGACATAAAAAGTATTGTGAATAAATGTTTCATTTATATTTAATAATTTTTCTATATACATGAAAAAATAATCACTTTTTTTAATTACTTCATTTACAGAAACCTAAAATTATTCATTTTAATATGTAAATGAAATAGATGAAGGAACATTTATTTTTGCCCCCTCAATGAATAAATACCCTTGCAGAAATGTAGCTTGGCAATGTTTTTAGCAGTAAGTTTTATTCCCGACCGATTTTAATAAGGTTTTGCAGATTTTTTTTATTATAAGAGTCAATAAAAAGCAATAGATTTAAGTTAAGTTGAAAAGAAGAAACTGGTACAGTGAGCATTTTAAGAAAAAAATGAATGTTTTTTTTCAGATTTTGCTTATATATAATAGAGCACAATTAAACTAATCATTGCCAATATTTTCATACAAGAATTATTTCTTAACATATATTCAAATAGACAGCTTTATGATAAAGTAGACTGATCGAGAATATGTAACAAAAAAAAAAGGACATGGACACATCGCAACGTCTGTTGATTCTAATCAAAAATATAACCTTATGACGTCGAAGACTTTGCCTGCCAAGATTTAAAATATTTATCTATGCAACGTTCTTTTCCTGACTTTTTAAGATCAAAACTTGTTGTAAAATTTTCAATTTGTATCAATTTTTTGTTTGCGAAAAGCTGAATATTTTCTAAATAATTGAACTTAGTTTAGTTAATTTCATGGAGTCTCCTCTTTTAAAAATTGCATTCAAAATGCAAACATACCCTAAAAAATGGCAAAAAAAAACCTCTTTCGAAATTTTGCAAATTAAAAAGAAAGAAAGCCCAAAATTGCAAAAAATCTATTAATATATTTTCAAAAAATCTTATATAAATATTTTAAAACGTATTTTTGTTATTATGAACGAAAGAATATAACTCTGTTGCACAGCGCTATTTCGCTCAGTGTACGCGACAACAGCAGGCAGCAAGGTAAAAGGAGTGGCTGGCAGGCGGGCAGACAGGGAGACAGGCGACGACAACAACAACAGAGAGAGAGAGAGAGAGCAGATGGATATGCCCAAGTAGCCCAGCGAGAGGCGCTGCCTGTGCGAGCGACGTTGACGGCGACGTCGACGCCGAAGCCGAGGTTGAGGCAGCGACCGAGTCGGCGGCAGGCAACACTCGTGAGAGTTGCTGCCGCATTCGAAAATTGTGCGTGCAGCGCGAAGGACGTGCAACGGCGGAACGGTTGTTGTGCATGTTTTTTTAGTGCCCGATTCGATTGTTGTTGTTGCCACCCCGTGGCAAGCAGGCAGAGCGCACCGTGTGACGTCAGTAGCAAGAAAACGCGACACCTTTCCGCGAAAACCAAAGTGACGAAACACACAGACAGCAAAAGATAATAGAAGAAAATATCACATATATATATTGAGTAGTATTATGTCTGCGAATAATCAAGCGGAGCCAGCGGCCGCGATGGCAGCGGCGGCTTCTTCGTCGGCGGCATCCGCTGCCTCCGCCTCGGAGTACCTGAAGCGCACCTGCCTCATCTGCGGCTGTCAAACGAATCAGACCATCAACATCTATGAGCCGCGCTCCGGACCAAATATCGTGCAATTAATTCAGGCCAAATTCAAATTTCAGGTATGTTCCCAGCAAAACAAATAACAAAAACTCAGCCCAAATCAAAAATCGATAAGCGGACAAAATGAGTCATGTGCACACAATAACGTCCTTCGTCTCGCCCTGTGCGTGTGTGTGTGTGTGTGTGTGTGTGTGTTTGTGAAAAGAGGGATGAAATACTGTGTAAGCTTAGGGGCACAACCCGTCCAACCCACTCTCCAGGTGGCTGCAGCATCCAAGCGTGTGCACTTGAAAGTCGCGTCGAGCAGGCCGAGAGAAACGTTAGGTAGTCTGCGTCAGGAGTAGCTCTGGAGGGGGAAAGGGGGGGGCAAAGAAGGTTATAGAAGTTCAGCCAGCACTAAACGAAGTCAGGGTGGATAGCATAGCATAGCAGCTAAAGGAATTCGCAGTTGTAAGTCTCGGAGAGTGGCCGATTGGCGGGGAAGGAGGTCAGCAAGAGGAAGAAAGAGTCTGGACCTAACGCAGCTCAAGCATATATTCTTCAAATAAGTATGCTTGAGGTTCTGGAATCAGGGATGGCACATAGAGCAAGTCATATAAGGAACTAGGCTCCATTTTAACTCTTAATAAAGATATAGAACTTCGTAGAGAGTAGATTAAGGAATCAGTCAGCAATTATAGAGCTAGGGTTGATAACTAGGCTCAGATCTAAAGACCTTAACTGGGAAGGAAATAAAGAATAGGGTATGGACTTGGTTAGAGATCTACTTAAAAGACTCACAGAGCAGTAAATAAATCAGCATAAGCGATCTGTTGCCTTATAAAAACGAAACCCTAGAGGAGACTAGGCAGAGTTCAATAGATGACAAAGAAGTAAAGAGATTTCGATCAGAGAGGGAAGACGTGTTATACATGAAATGGAAGCTAGAAGCTAGAGCTTAGGTTTAATAAGATGACAACTGCTCGTTCGATCTCCATAAAGTATATAAATTCCTGATCAGCATCAATAGCCGAGGCGATCTAGCCATGTCCGTCCGTCCATATGTATGAACGCAATTATCTCAGAAACTATAAGAGCTAGAATTCTGAACGTAGGATCTCCAGTACGAGTTTGGTTCCGATAATCGATAAAAATCGATATTGAAAGCCTGAGCAAATCTCTTAGTTCTTACTTGATCCAGTATCCTGCCAGAAGAGTGTTAAGGGCATTCCCCAGTCGGTGTGGTCCGGTCTGGTAACTAGCTTAGAATGTATTATACGTTAACGGAATTCGCGACCCAGTTGAGTGAACAAGCGACTGACCAACTGACTGACTACCCAGACCCAACCCAATCCAACGGAACTCAACTGAACTGAGTAACTGTCGCCTTGTATCCGTATCCGGTGCTTGTGGCATTGTGGGTAGCTGTGGGTAACTGGGTAATAGGATAGCAGCTGCTGCATTTCCCTTTCGTGTGTAACTGGACACTTTGCATGTGGCACTTAAATCAATACGCGTCCTTTGAGTGTCCTGTTTTTTTTTTTTTTTTTGTTTTCCATAATTTTCAACGGCTTGTTCTAATTTAAATGTGCCATGGGAAAATGCGCTGTGGCTGCCGCAAAGTGTGTTGCATATTGGATTACACTTGAGTTCATGTTGTTGTTGTTGTTGCACGTTTGGGCTACCTGTCAGCGAGAGCCTTGAGTTGCTCACGAACCTGCTCCATTCAGCTGGCAGCTGCGACAATTCGTGCATATCTTTTGGGCTAACTTCCCCCATACCCATCCCCCTCCACTCCACTCCCCCTTCTTGGCTAACTCTCCTCCATTTATGATTGATCCAATTTCTGCGGGTTTCTTCTGGCCTCTTCATCAGAGCGCCGAGCAGCCTCTGCTGCTGTCTTCTCTTTTTTTTTTTACTACCTACCTTTTTCAGCTGCTCGCAACAGCAGCTGTATTTGCAGCTCTGCCACACTCGCACACACACACACACACTCTCTTTATAGAGGAACCCGCATTTACGTGCCCCGAACAACTCTTGAGCTGCTGCTGCTGCTGCTGCTCCTTTTCGCATATCGCAGCTATTGTCTGCGCTGGTTAGGTAAACATTTCTATAGGTAGTTCTTGGAGATTTCCGATTACCTTTTACTGCGCAATCAGTTTGGGCAGCTGAAGCACATGTCTAGCTTATCTAACAAAAGGATCGTCTTTTTTTATAGATCTCTAAATGATAACGTTGTTGTTTGTTTTATTTTAGCAACTAATTTGTTCTTGAAGCAGTTTATATTGCACAAAGATTTATTCCTCATTCAACGTTTTTCTAAGCTTCAAGTTCAGGCAAATAAAAAAGTAAGAGCTTTCCCATATTATTTGTGTAATCTAGAAATTATGTTACTTCCAGTTGCGTTCTCTCCAATCTCATATTGAGGACACAACAATTGAGTGGGCATTCGGTATATTCCGCTAACCAGAACCTTACCAAGTCTTCGTTTCGACTAGTTCTTTCGGGCTCCCTGTGAGCTATGCACTTCCGAGCCACTTAAACTGGTTAGCGGGAGCCACGGGAAACCTTAGAAACAACCACGAAAATATGCCACAGAAAATAAACAGAAAATTAAGTTGAAGGACTTCTTAGCTAGTTTTCGGCTGGATCTTCTTGGGTTTCACAGTCGAGCTGTTAATTGGATTGCTGACAATTCAATTGGTTTGTCAAAATACAGAAATATGATATAGGGGCTGTTTAGAAGTTAGACGTTCAAAAATTGTGCCTTTGCTAAACTTTTTGATATACCACATACTATTCTAGTTTGTTTTGCGAGTTGGAAAGTCATAAGGTCACAAAGTCACAAATGCATAAAGTTAATACTTTTCGGTCAAACTAGAATTTGTTAACAGCAAATTAATTAATTTACACATTACAAATGAGAGCTGGGTTGATTTGTATCAAATGAAGCGCTCGAAACGGGCAGTCACGACTTTTAGGATACCCATTAAGCTAGTCATGTAGTTGCTCTTGAATCCGAACCCTGAGTTTGATCTTGGACAACTTACTCTCGCCATAGAGCTATATAATATATAGATCTTGCTAAGATTCGGCTCATTTGTAAGCAGCATACAGAGAATATTTTGATGGACAAAAAGGCATTCCATAGAAGTATCTAATTTTCTATCGATATGCAACCCCTTTCAGTTTCAGTTGGCATAGTTCACCCCAGGTAAGAGTTAACGATCGGCACCACCTGCCGTGCGCCTCCTCTGCGCATGCAGCCCCTATATGACACCCCCGCCATAAATCGAAAAAAGAACCTACAACCACCCGCCAAACAAGCTGAAAAGCCTGGCATAATGCCTAATTGATCGAATGACCGAATGACAGCGCCATAAAGCAGCAGAAACTTCAGTTTCAGTCATTCATCTGTCTATCTTGCCTCTCGCTCACACTCTCTCTCTCTCTCGCTCTCGCTCTCGCTCACCTTTTATCAGCTTTGCGTGTGGCTCTGTTGTCTGAATTGCACCTGGCCTGCAATTTGCATTATTTTTACCGTTTACACATGGCCCTTTAGGTCGATCGGTTGCTGGGTTCCTTTTTTTCTTCAACTGATCCTGCCTGGTTAGCTGTCCCTCTCTCTCTCTCTCCCTCTCGCTCTATTTAATTCTAAGCAGCTGTCGCTTGCCGCCTCGTGCCTAATGCCATGTTTGGGTTGTTATTATTTTTGTTGTTGTTGTTTCTTTTTTTTCTGGATCTGCTGCTACGGTTCGATAAGAGAGGCGCGTGGCCAAACGGGTTTACCGACCCGGCACTGCTGCTCAAAGCGCAGCCCGGCCCCGCCGTTGCCCCTGGCCAGGGTCTGGTTTTTGAGCCAGCTGCTTGGGCGCAATTTTTTGGCTGGCAGGTGCACGAAATATTATTGATACGAGAAATGCGTGAACCCTGCCGCTGCTCAGCTGGTAATTAATATGCCACGGCCTCAGTCTCAGCCGAGACACTTAAGTTTTATGTTATTTTTTGCACCTTTACCTAGACTCAGGCAGGCTGGCGAGAGGCGAGCGGCGGCCGGCGGGGTTTGCACCCGGATCAAGCTGGCCGGCCGGCTCATTAGTGGTCAGTCCGTTCCTCGGGCGTAGCTCAGTTTATGTGGTTATGCTTCAGCTGTAATTCCTTGGGCAGGACCTGCACTTAACAGGCATCGACACGGAAGCCTGCTCGGCTCGAGCGTGTCCCATGTTTGCGCTTTGTAATCTAATTTCGAGGCACCTTTTCTAAGCAATTAAATTACGTTTGATTGGCCTTAAAGGCTGAGTGATCGACTAGGCGATACCCTATGCTGTTTTATAAGTGTAAAAAAAAGAAAGAAAGTCAGGTGTTCGATTCGCGAATCTTGTTGATTATTTACACTTATCCTCTCTCCCACTTTCGGTCCCCCTTTCTCCCTCTTTTAGGCCACGTCTAGCTCTTGTTTAAAGCTTTTTAGCTTCTGCAGCTCTCTTCCTTTTCTCTGTCCTTCTCTCACTGACATTGTTTTCCTCTTTTAAGTCCATTTTTAGCTCTAACTAAAACATCTGCAGCTATAACTCCCTTTATATCTCTCTCTCTCACTCTCTCTCTCTCTCTCTCTCTCTCTCTCTCTCTGTCTACCTCTCTCTCTCGCTCTGTCTCTTTCTGTCTCTGTAGGCTGAGGTTTTCCAAATTATGTAATCTCTTTCGCTCCACTCTCCCACTCTTTCCTTCTCTCTCTCTCTCCCAGTCTCTCTCTCTCTCTCGCTCTGTCTTTCGCTCACTCTCTCTCTCAGTCTCTCTCTCTCTCTTAATGCTACATCTCCATCCGCAAATAATAGATTAACATCGCTCTCTCAATCTTCAACACATTTTTCTAATCTGTCTCTCTTGGTCTTCTCTCTCTCTCTCTGTCTCCTTGCAGCCTCTGAATGAGGATAAATTCCTGTGCTTCAGCTGCAACAATTGGCTAATCAACTGGCACTCGCTGCAGGCGGTCAACAGCAACGATGTGGAGAGCCAGAGTCGGAGTCAGAGCCCCTCGCACATGGGCAACCACAGCAGCGCCGGAGTCGTGCAGCAGCAACAGCAGAAGGGACTGCCGCTGGAGCGGGCCAAGCTGCGGCCGGTGGCGCAGGTGCGTCCGCAGCCGCAGGCGCAGATGCTCGCCCAGCCACAGGTCCAATTGCCCGCCGCACAGATCGCGCCACCGCCCGCCATCAGCTACAACAAGCGTCGCTTTGGCCGACGCACTGCAGCAGCCAGCAGTGGGCGTGGCATGCGTGGCAAGATGCTGCGTCACAGCAGCAGCTGTGCGTGCCGCAAGTGCCGCGACTGCGAGAACTGCAAGTGGCGCACGCTGCATCGACGCAGCCTGGCTAAGGTGGCGCAGCTGGAGCGCGCGCTGTGCCGGCAGCAGCAGCAGCCGAAGCAGGCGGAGCAGCTACAGCAGGAGCAGAGACTAGTCAGGGCGCCAGCCACGCCCACTGGGCAGCCGAAGTACCAAAGAATGCCAGCGCCGCGCGTCGATGGCAAGGTGGTGGCCATGTTCCGGCGACTGGGCACCACGCTGAGCACCGAGCAGCAGCAGGAGTCGCAGCAGGAGCCGCTGGCCACGGCACGTCCGCCGCTGCGCATCATGAGCCCCGCCAAGCAGCGTCCACGCTGGACCCGCGTGCTCGACGAGGATGAGGTGCTGCTGGAATTCGATAGCGGCATATTCGAGGTGTTGCCGGCAGCGCCGCTGGCGACCACAGCGCGTCGACGTTTGCGCTATCAGCTGAGCAGCGAGACGCAGGCAGCGGAAGTGCAGGCAGCAGCGGAAACGGAAGTGCGAAAGGAGCTGGAAAACCGCAAAATAACCCACCAAACCGAGCTGGAACTTGCAGGGCTGCAATTGCCACAGGGACTGAGCATTACGTTGATCTAAAGGCAAAAGCCTAAAAACAAAAAAGGAGGAAAAATAAAACATAATAAAAGAACAAGAACAAATGAATATTAGTCAAATTATATGCACAAAAAATTGCGAGCATTGAAATAGTCTTAATTAATATTTAATTTTTATTGTACCTCGAATAAATTTGTAATTGTTAGTCAATATATTAGCGCAAACGGCAAGACCTAAGAATGTTAAGTTAATATGTGTATGAACAAAAACTATATTTAATATATGTATATTAGACCTAATTGGAAAACAGCAAATCGAAAAAAAGCCCCTTAAACCCAAACACAACCTTCCAAAAAAGCAATCGCGTTAAACTCGTAGTAGAATTTGTTTGCATTTGCCATGTTATAGCCACAAAAAAAAAAAACAAAGTATTTAAAAAATATAATATATAAATAAAAATAACTAGCACAACTACAATCCAAATATTTCTAAGATTTTATTTCAAATTTAAATTCAAATTCCTAACTGCCAAACTGCGCCGCCGCTCACAGTTTGCATAGCCGCGCGTTGCCAACCACTGTTACTTAACATTAACAGCTGCCTATCGATATATTGCCAGCGAGCAATATGCACGTATATCGATATGCGCAGACCATGCCATGCATTTTTTCCTCTTCTGTGTCTTTTCAGTCTTCTTTTCGTTTTTCTTGCGCATGGTTCGTTGTCGTGCTCGAGTCTTGGCATTTTTGCATTAAAACGCGCTATCGGCGCTTGTAAACCAACAAAAGTTAAACTGTTCTGCAAAGTGCAGCGTGCTTGGCTGGTAATTATGCCTAAATACATACAATTTTAATTTGTGTTACGTGCTTAACTAAATTTAAATGCCAACCATAAAAAAAAATTGGTGTATCTCAAAATTAAAAAGAACCAGTAACAAGAAGTTGCTGAAAGCGAGTTGACATTGAAGAGCGCGCGTGTGTATGTGTGTGTGTGTGTGAGTGTGCGAAATTCTTTGTTTTTATTCATATTTAAATACGCGCAAAATTAGATTTGCGAAAAATAAAACAAATCAAGCGAAGGCAGCAACAACAACAACAACAATTGCAGCTCAAGCGTTAGCGCGTGCCTTTTGATTTTTCATTAGCTGTTGCATCGCATAAAAATCAATAAAAAAAAAAACAAGCTGGCTATTGTTGTTGCTCGTTTTTGTTGTTGTTTTCGCTGCTTTTGTCGCGCCAGGAGTTTGTCGCCGCCGTCTAACGTTTCCGTCAACAATCGAAGCGCTCGCGTCAAAGCTCGCTCGCTCGCTCGCTAGTTCGTGTTGTATTTTTGCCATATCGTGTTATCTTGTTGTTTTTTTTCGCCGTGTTTATTGTAGTTGAGAATAAAGACCAGCGTTTAAGCAATTTGCTATAGACCTAATTATAACGCTTGCTTTGTTTATTTCTTTTATCGCCTGGCTGCAGAAGGAGTCGTTTGCCAAGCTGCATTTCGAGACAACAACAAAGAATTTAGTGGAGCATCCAATTCTGGGTAAGCAATGTGTGGGAATAACAAAATGGCGCCGGGCAACTATCAATTTGACAAGTTCAATAATCGAAAGTGTATTGTGTTCTCTTTTCCACGCACACTCACGCAAATTGTATAACGGTTCAATGCACCGTGCTCTGATGTCTGTTGGCGCATTTGAATTATTGCCGTTGTTGTTATCTCCTTTTGCATGTCGCGCACTGTTGTTGTTGTTGTTGTTGTTGTTATTGTCTGACGCTTTGCTACACTTCCTATCAGATGCTGCGTCAGCTGCGCGTGTACCGTTATACGGGTGTGTGACTCAAATAACTGCATTTGCTGCTGTTGCTGTTGTTGTTATTGCTCTTGGGCGTTTTTTTTTTTTTGTTATTTTATTTAGATTCGTTTTGTTTTGTTTTTTTCTGGTTAATTCGCCTTATTTGGCACAGTCCGCAATTTGTTTGTCTCAAATTTGGCGTAATTAAAAATCAAATTGATTTTTCCGTTTGCAAAAACACACGAATAAAACAACAACAACTACAACAGCAAAAGGCAATCAAATTGTCAGTTAGCAACAACAACATCGATTGCTGCAACAATGAAAAAGCAGTTTTCGTATTAAACAGTCAGAGAAAAAAAAAATAACTCAGTCAAGGCATTGGCTGCTTATTGTTGCTGGTGCCGTTCGCTTGCCACACGTTTGTGCCGCGTGTTGTTGTTGTTGTGTGTTGCAACAATGAGCATGGCTAATTTTCGTTATAACAAAAGTTAAGTACTCGACTCTTTAAGCTTTGCCCGTTGTTAACGAAACCGTTTCTGTTGTTGTGGCTATAACAATAACAACTACAAACACGACAACAACAAAAACAACAACAACGACAATGACAACAACCAAGCGAAGAAGCAACGGGCCGACAAAAAAAATGTTTATTTTTCTTTCGTGCTTGTTTCTTTTGCGTGGCGCTTAGGCATTAACCAACACTATCGCAAAACAACCAATAGAAATGATATTGCATTAGATTGGGTTTACTTGTTTTTCCCCCAACTAAATTGGTCAATTTCTAAGCCTCTCTACTTGCCAAGATTAGCTAACGTCAAAGTTAAGTACTTAATATATTATTTTGAAAAGTAAAAACACATGAATCTAATGGAGCTAATGCTGTATTCCTTTTAGGGTAGCAAATGTCTTGTTTTATTTTTGGTCAATTAATTCCAACTAGACCTACAAATACTCTTCAACTGTTAAAAATAAGTTTCCTATCTGGAAACAAATACGCAAAAAACAAAAACCAAAAATGGTACTTCCCATACCGGGAATCGAACCCGGGCCTTCTGGGTGAAAGCCAGATATCCTAGCCACTAGACCATATGGGATTATACAATCCCTACGAAACGAAACATATTTATTAAAAATGGTTGCCATTTATAGATTTTGTTAAGGCTCTTGTCCTAGAATAGCAAAGGAAAAATATGTTCATTTTACTCTGAACACAAATATCCCATATTGTCTAGTGGTTAGGATATCCGGCTCTCACCCGGAAGGCCCGGGTTCAATTCCCGGTATGGGAAGTAATTTTGATTTATATATTTTGTGCCTGAATTTTATTTTGTTGTACTTAATTTATTGTCATTTTGTTAGCTTGTATTTGAATAAAGGGTGCCTTCTGATTAATGCGCTATTAATCAACTGTTTTTGGTTGCCTCTCAAACATTTCCTCAAATGGAAAAAGGCCAAAAATCTGGAAACAGCTTCCACTTCACTTATTTTTGACCCCTGCTGCAGCCAATTTAATTAAAGTGGCTTTTTAATGAATATCAGCTAAAAATTGCTGCCACTCATGATCCGGCTCAACGAACTGCACACAGATGGGGTTTTTCTTCTTCTTCTTCAAGCCCAGCCGCTGTTCAATTTCCAGCTGGAAAAACAGCTATAAAACGACTAATTCATCAAAAGTGTGGCAAGCAGCAGCCGGCGAGCCGAGATAGTGGGCCATTGTTGCAGTTGTTGTCGTTGCGCCTTGGCACGCCCACTTTTCGCTGCCTGCCACTTTCGTAGCAATTGAATCTTTGTTGTCTTTGGAGCTGTAGCTTTATTTTCTACGTTTTTTTTTTTTTGTATGCCATCATCAGCTTTGCTCGGCGTCATCGTCCCAGGCATTAGAAGCGCGTGTGAGACAATATGCGATTGAGCAAGAAGCAGCAGCAGAAAAAGAGGCACAGCATACAAATTAACATTTTTATAGTGGCTTTTTGTAGCCAGCAGCTCGCTCAAAGAAAGCCAAGCCCCAAGAATCGACGAGAGCAGCAGCGACAGCAGCAACAAAAAAGAGACATTCAACCGTTTTTTTTTCCCCCCCCTTCTGTTTCTGTTAAACGTCAAACGTAACGCCAACGCCAAGAGACACGGCTGCGTTTTATTTTTATTGTTAAACCAGTTGAGCTGAGTTTCAGCAAGAACACAAAAGAGCAACAACAGCTGCCGTCACCCTCGCACTTCCTAGCTACGGCTCTGAAGCTACGCTGACTGCATATTAAAGCTTTTTTTGCCTGCTGGCTGCGCAACGATGTCTCTGTTGTTGTTGTTTTTTTTCCAAAGCTTTGTTATGCTTTGATTTTCGTTTCGTCTGGAATCCTTAACGCGCAGTCTATAATCCGCTTGTTGTTGCGACCCCCCGTTTCGTTTCCATTGCGTTGTGCCGGACTCCAATCATTTGCATGTGTCATGCCAAGGCGCTTAATCACATGCAATGCATTTTCTACAGCAAGCAGTGTCCATTTCGTTTCCAGTCTCCAATCATTTTAATGTCATGGATGCTGGCGCTTAATTACGGACATTGCATCTTTACAATAAGCAGCATTCGCTTTGTTTCCATTGCCTTGCATGGTGTAATTTTCAAAGCAAGCAGCCTTTGAACGAGTCCGTTTCATTTCCAGTTTGTTGTGCGCAAGTGGAGTATCCCATCAATTTTATGTGTCATGTTGCCAGATTGATGTAATTTCGACCATATTGAAAGCGAAGTGCCCACATTGATCTCTCATTAATTTTTTATATAACAGTGTTGAGGGGCGCTTAATTACCAAAAATGCAATTTCTATAGCATACATGTCTCGGTTTTAAGGTTCATTTCGTTTTCATGTACCGCGAGCAGTGAGCTTTATTAAACTGTTTCAATTCTACGTGCGGCATTATAGACAGTGCAATATTTACAGCAAGCAGTGTTCGGCTCATTTCCATAGTGTTCCACTGCGCTTACAGCAGGCGTTTAGCTACAAACCATGCAAATTCTGTTTCGTCTCAGCTGCGTAGCACTTGCCGGGATGCAATCAATTTCAGGTGCCATGGGCGCATGCTCTTAATTACCTGCACTTTTTACATTTAAAAACCTTTGGGCGCTTTTAATTTTGCGGGCCGCCTGTTGCTGCAGCTGCCGCCGCTGTTATTGTGACTTGTGAAGCGTGTGACCGGAGGTGAAATTTCAGTTTTGATTATTTCGGCTAAGCCACAGAGCAAAACAACTGCAAGACGGCCAACTACAAACTACAACTACGACGTCAAACTGTCTAAAACTGGCGATAAATGCGCGCAGATACTTTGGTGTAGTTTGGCCGCGTTTGCGATTCGAATTCGCATTCGATGCTGCCGCTTTAAATGGACAACTGGGAGTGGGTCACACAGCTGCAGACTGTGCTGCAGCAGCAACAGCAGCAGCTGACGGCAGAGACCAACGTAGCGATTATAGGGATGCGGATGGATACCCAGAGACACAGACACAGACACGGACACGGACACACAACGGCCAGAGAAACAGAGCCAGATCCACACTGTAGAGCCTCAGAGACTCCCAGAC